TTTTAGTACGTTTTCAATGAGTTATGAGTAAAAATTTAAATATATTGGAAAGAATATTGAAATATTAAAAAAGATATATACAGAATAGAGTGCGTAATGTATTAATATATTATTGTGTAAGGATTGACAAGAAGAAAACAATTCAAAACTTATAACTGCAAATTTTGAATGATATGGTAAAACAAATTTAAGAAATTTTGTAATCAATAAAATATTTCTTGAATATACATCTTTTAAATATTGTTTAAACTTTGTATATTTTAACAAATAATAAATGTCAAATATATAGATAGATACATGAATATTGACAAGAACTCATTAATAGATATGCTATAAATAGGACGGAGAAGAAAGCATAGATGCAATAGTGAAGCATTCAAGATTATTTATCAACTTCAATGAACCACAAAAAGTGTATTTTCATTATAAATTTCTTCTTACATATTCTGATGACTCGTCTGCTCTCATTATCACATTACTCACGTTGTAAATCTATTGTTGATGTATAAAAATAGTTCAGCGAATAGGACAATATTTTCTGACTTTATGGTAGACAACCATTGAAACACAGCAGTAATTCATGAGAATGAAAGGAACTCGAAGGACAGCCCAGTTTGGTTTTTATGATATTGTTTGAGATCATACTGGGTTTCGTCAGATCTTTTCGGCATATTCAGTATACAGCATCTTTGCTATGTGTAAAGATGCTTTTGAGCTAATTTTACTTGTGCCTAAATATTGAATTTATTGAACTTATGCAGTGCATCAACTCAAATTGGCAGATAATAAGAATGATTTATTACCAATTAATTTGCTAGTGTTTGGTTCAACTATTCTTAACTATTTAGCCGTATTCAATGGATAGAAATGTATCTTTTCTCTTATCATCATATGGATATCGCACTACCTCAATAGTTTTTTTTTTTTATTCTCGAAGATTAAAATGAGTCGAAAAAAAGACATGCCATGTTTTAGTCATTCGCACCGTCAATGTCGATGAGTAAACGTTGAATGAATATATTTCATGATGGATCGATCAATTCTAGTTGTTAGCAATAAAAGCCATTACGTTGATTTATTGGCTCACGTTAGTTGAAAAACACTGACAAAGGTGAACTTATATGAGATAGAGAAATGAGACGAGAAAATAAAAATATCTGCAATGAATCGATTCAATTAGATTTGTTCAATGTTAAATGAAACTTAAAACGTATTTTTTCGTGCAGCTTGCATTGGAGGACAAGCCACATAAGAATGACACCCGTACCAATCATACGAAGAAGATCGTTACATATGTTCAAAGCTAATAAAACATGAAGTTCGAATCTCTAATCGTTAACAGTAAATTATTCTATGTCTTACCAAATGAATTAATACCTTGTTCACGTAAATAATTTTCAAGAGCATTGAAAGTATTAAGATTGACATAAAGTACATCAGCTAAATCTTTATTCAACATAAATGAACTGTTCTATACTCGAATCAAAAACAAATACTTAATGGAGATTAAAAATGATACTACCTCAGCTTGAAGTTTGATGAGATCTTCAATCATTGTTTTTTGTACATCAAATATCCTTCATTGACCTCAGAGATGGAGCACTAGTCGTTTAATCTAAATTTATATACACATTACAGCATACCTGGTTATTGAAAACAAGAGACAAAGTGCTGGATATGGATACAAATTCACCGGAAAATTTTTGTAGTGTAGTTTTAGCTGAACCGTCAAGCTGACAAAAGACAACAAATGAACAATCAAATGCTATGAGGATATCATATAATACAAATCATATACAGAGAATTATCGAGCTTGCGATCATGAACTAGAAAATAATACTACGTAAACATCAATCATTTTTTTAGAATTAACCAGATATGGCTGCAAAATCTGCATCGCTTTGTACCTATGTACCATGTCGCTAAAGTTCATCTTTTGTCAAACTTAGATAGATTTCAATGGTATTTAATAATGATAAAAAACATCTAGATAATTATAGTCCTTATCTGACGATTTGTTTCGGTAGTAAATAAAGCTTTAGCATCTGAACGTGCTTCTTCAGCATTAACATGAAGTATATTGTTGGCATAGATATCTATGCGAATAGCAATTTCAAGCGTTTGAACAGTAAAGTTTCTTGTAAAGACCACTCAGGCTGAAATCTCTCAAAAGTATCTACAATATATAAGATACTCGAACAAATTTGATACATTTATGACACTCTACGCACATGGTATTTAATGAAACGATGTTCGTCTTCAAATATACAAATTGTAGCTGCTATTTGATAAGCATAAGCATTTGTGACTACCGGAAATAGTTGAGTTCGCGTTAGAATCGTGGTATTACGACGAATAAGTGCATGCATGTGACCGTGAACGTCTTCGATGCCCAGACCAAGTAGACATACATCACAAGGAGCAGTAGGTAGCGGATACATGCGTCAGACGTTGGAACATGTTTCACAATTCCTAGACTATACTAAATTTTAATTTTATTCTCATTTTAAGTATAGTATCGATAGAGAACAACGATTAGCGGCTAATCCCCGTATATAACTATGAAATCTTTTAAAACTTACTTTTTTGGTATTATATCATGCCTATCACGAATGCATTATACACTAAACGCTTCATTGTCATCGTCAGAAAATTGCTTCTGAAAGTGAATGAAATTTTCGAAAAAAAATTGCATTTAAACATACATACTTTGACAGATTCATCCGATAGTTTCATGTGGCTTACTTTTTTTCTACACATCTCATCATATCGCATATCTTAAGCTCTGTTTTTGAGCAAAGGCAAGAGATATGCGACCATGTCTACCACGAAGTTGTGGGATTCGTGAATATTGTTCTATTTTCCTTGCCCACTCATTGAAATAATCGAGATGTTAATGTAATTCCAACTTACCATCCAATGGTTCAAATTGTGGTAACAGCGAAGACTATGTATAGCTGCTACTTCTGAAAGATGTAGATGATACTTTTCGGGTTGGCAATTTTATTGTTGAGTATGAAATATGTGACGACGTCGGTAGGAAAGGAGAAAAGTCTTCCAACAAGAAATTTCAACATCAATGTCTAAAAGTAAATCATCCGATGATGATGTTAGTTTGATATCTACAACGAATGTTAAATTCGAACGTGATACATCTAATTTGTACGACTAGTCATGAACTAAAAAGTATACCATCCATCAACAGCCAAAATGCTTAACACTATTCTGTCCGCTCGAGGAAAAACTAAGGGGACAAACTTTCCGTAGAGTAGCTCAGAAACATGTTTACAATAAGGTATTATTTACATCAGTGGTCAAAGTCAAACTTCTCTATAACTTTTAGTAACGATGAATCAAACAGTGTATATCGTTGTTTATGAAAAGTGGGCTAAAGAAGAGTCTATTAGTTGATAAAAGAAGTTCCTTTATACATAAAAATATCAATGCAAGAAAAAAAACGTTAGTGTTGCTGTATCTTTCACAGAATTTTTGAAAATTTGAATTGAAACTGTCTCTCTGTAAATCCTATTCATGTCTCGTAATTAATAAACAAAAATAGTAAGGTTTCTTATCGGTCTGTCGTTATTTTCTATTCATATTGATCATGCTTCATGATACAGAATAATGTGGGAGGAAGATGAATATTAGCTAGTCGTAGATCAGTAGAACATGGTCATGCTTGAGTTTATGTGGGTTGTATGGGTGAATTCCACAAGAATAAGTGTAATAGAATACTCAGAATTGTCCAAAAACATTGAAACGAAAATTTAGATTCAACTTTCAGGAGAGGTATCAAAAACAGGGATCAGTTGCTAGTCAAACGCCCGTCTATAGCCGTCTGAAGTTTTTAGCAACCGTATATGGAACACATTGAAGCTTCAACTTCTTGAAAATTTTGTAATAGTATCAATAGCGGTAGAATGAGTGAAACTCGCTGATAGTCAGTGACGGTATTTCAACTCATGCGACATTCAAAGGCACGATTCTTTGTAGTTCTCACATTGTTGTTGAGAAAAATAACTGTCATGAAAAACAAGCAAGGAAAAAAATATTCAAAAATAAGTTTTCTGCAGAATACTACATTTGGAATGTATTCTTCTTTCGTTAATTGTTGCAACACTTGTTTCTGTTTTGCTACTTTCATATTGCGATCAACCTACGCTGTAGAGTTTCTTTTTCTTTGTCTATTTATTTGTTTTTGCTTGATAACAGGTAAGTGTGATATGAAAACGAAGTGAAATAGATTCTTTCTCTGTATTATTAACTGTTTATATATTTTATCGTCCTCGAGGCGCAATGCACTTATCTAAAGTAACCAACAAACTATATAAAAAATGATGATGTTGATAGGAGTTAATTCGTTAGGATGAATATTTCATGTTTTTAGAATTTAGTCGCAGCGCTAAGAATACAATAAGGCTTCGTGAAATCGTGTGTGTGCTTTTCGTATGTATGAGTCATATAGTATAGAGTCAATGGGAAATTTATAAATTCTTTATACAATGTTATTCGATCTAATCTTTGACTATGTCTATATATTTTTTTCTTATTTCTCTTTGATGAATTATTTCAACTATGACTAACATGTATGTAAGTTTCTCATACGAGCAGTTATAGACATGATATCGACGGCTGTGCGAAATCAAATAATTTCATGTCGTTCCTTAGATATGCCTTACGTGACTTTACCGGTATCTCACCAAAGTGTTAAATTGTACTATGACGTACATGGCTCAGGTCCCGTCAAAGTTTTGTTTATCATGGGATTGAGAACCGAAGGTCAAGCTTGGAAATATCAAGTAAGAAAGAATCTACGTTGATCTTGCAGAATAAGACTTCATTCTTCCTTCGTAGACGGATTTCTTTTTTGAAAAATCCAAATATCAGGTAAGAGAAATAGATTAGAATTAAGAAGTTAATTTGAATAGTGTGTGAGTTATGATAATCGTGGCTGTGGTCGGTCATCGACGCCGTTGACATTCGAATATACAACAATTCAAATGGCTAAAGATGCTCTGGAGCTAATTGATCATTTGGGTTGGTCTCAGTGTCATGTAGTGGGTATCTCTATGGGTGGAATGATTGCCTTAGAATTCGCTCTGTTAGCAAATCGTAGAATTCTTTCTCTCACTCTTATGGCGACACATGCTGGTGGTTTAATTGGTCAAGCACCATTGATCGGCATGTATCATATTATTCGATCATTTATGATACGCGATGACGACGAACTTGTAAAAAATGCTCTTGACATGCTCTATGGTCGAAAAACACTAAATGATCCTGACAAACGACAGGTTAGTTGACATCCATGTAAACTGAACTTATTCATAGCAAAATTATTCTTGAAAATGTTCTTCATTCTCATTATCTTCTCTTTTCAATAATATTTTAATTTTTTAGTATTTTTACGATTATCATCTTGAACGATTCAGAACTCGTGTTCCATTGTCAATGGTCGGCAGTTTTGGCCATATGTTTGCCGTTCAACGACACTACATAAGCTATGCTGATCTATTGAAAATTCGCTATTCAAACTTTCCTTGTTTGGTTATGGTTGGTACTGAAGACAGACTCGTACGAGAGACTAATTCATATATGCTTCAACGAGTATTTTCTTTTTTCTTTGTTTTTCATCAAATAACTTGTGAGATCCTGTTTTAGACACTTGGTTGCCGTCTTGTCAAACTTGAACATGCAGGACACGATGTAATAGGCGAGTGTGCTGAACAAGTCAATCAAGAATTATTAGGTCAGCAGAAAAAGAGTCCGATGATGTTTGTTCATAAGATCTGCTCTCCCTATAAAATAAATATTTATTGTTCGTATAGAGTTTTTTGAATCGATCGATTTAAAGAGTCATCCATCACAGATATCAAGTGAATATGCGGCAGAAGTACGAGCACTTGAACTTTGTTGCCAACATCGGACTCATTGTTTTGTCTACAATCTTGTTGGCTTCTTTAAAGTATGATAGAGAAACAAGTATATGTTCATATTGACTTTTATTATAAAGGGCTTGGTTCTTGGTTTGATTCTTTACGGTGCATTAACTAGTGGCTTGACGAAGAGTGATTTTGTGGGCATTGATCTATGCACTCGATGTATGGTACTCATCGGCTGTTTAACGTACGAATAAACGAGCTTCTTTATTTTTATTTTTCACTCTTTCTGTTTTCTATAGTGGTTTGCATCGATCAATATTATGTATTTTCAATGCATTTCGAGCGCGAAGTTTTGTGAAAAAGCATCAACTGTTGCTTGAGCGAGCGGCTAATCATGGCGGTATTGGAATCACATTACCGACTCGACACAAGAATGGCATACCTAATGGATGTGGTTTCGAATTACCTGTCTTGCCTTTTATCTTTACCGTTTGTCTCGTTAGCCTTGTTTGGTGGACAAGACAATATGACTAACAAATCAAGATTCTTGAGACTTTTATGAATCGGTTGAGGACTATTTTTTGCCAACTTATGTTGTGTTGAGTGAATTGATTAAAACTATGATTTGATTATGTATCCGAACGGAATTCATATTTACTTCGCAATGGGAATGTTCGATAAAAAAAAAGATTTTTTTTCATTTTATATTCGATAATTGCATACAGTTTGGTATCATATAATAAGTGTGAATGCTAACAAAAGAAAATCGATCGGATGGATGCTTGTTAACAGGTGAACTTTGAAAATTCGAGGCATGATAATGAGTCAAACTAGAATCTAGTTTGATACATTATAAAACATTACCATATAGTTAATATTAGGCCATAGTAATTACAGGGTATAGATTTTGTTTCTTTTTCTCTACACGTGAAGATATGACGGCACGAATATGAAAAAAGATCTACGAATATAGATTTTTTTTCGGCATACAAAAACCAATTCTGTGGAGCATACTATATTTTCATATTTTAATCTGATTTGCATATCTTTTGATCCACGGATTCAAAGAAAGCATGAATTGAGTAATGAAGTTGAGTCGAACGAAGAAAGAAAGAACTATTGACATAAGTGTTAATAAATTTGTGCATACGGAAAACTTTTATGAAGTAGAGGAAATAGTAAATAAATGTATGCAAATACATTAGAGTAGATTCGTATATTACACACGAGTATAGTAAACTAAAGAATTTATCCGATGAATTTTTCCATAGGTCTTTTTAACATTAATTTAAATTCTACTCAGTTTATGACTTTCGAACAAAAAAAGGAGAGCATCTTCTTTTTTGATGAAACAACATGTTAAAATGGAGTAAATCTGACATAAGGGTAAACCTCCGTCTGTTCGACACTTTTGAACAGTGAGACATTAGATATGTGGAAATTTTTCATGCAAGATAGAACTCGATAGGTAGAAGCAATAGCTATAATCCACTCGAAATTTTCCGATCTTCTTTATCGGGTGTGCGTGTGGATATAGAGACCTATATCCCCATATCCACACGCACACCCTATTCACAGTAAGGATCCGGGTGTGAGTATGGTTGTGGGTGTTTATGTCTTTTCACCCACAATCAGTGTTTTATCTAAGTTTCGTTTCCCGAGTGAACGAGTCGAAATTCCGGGTGGACATCGCCCACCCGGTCCACCCAGTAGGTAAATCACTGCCCACAGCCATGTATGAATATAGTTTTTCTTTTCTCAGTTATATACATTTATCTATGATGATAGAGGCTCCCAAAAAATCGCTATTATTGTTTCTAGTCTTTCGAGAATTTTTGTCTGAAACATACTTTAGTTAGTGAGATTTTGTCGATGTTACTTGTAGTACTCTCCTAAACAAAGTATTGTTTATTCAACAACAATGTACCATCAGAAAAGTGATCTTCACAAATAGTGCAGTCTGACTTAAGTTATTCCAGCAAAATAAAAATTTTGGCGGCATCAATTATTATTTTGTATTTAAAAGAAAACACTTCCTATTTTATCCTTACACATAGGCTTATTTCATGCGATTTGATGAGAAGTTTTGACAGTAAATTCACACATCATCAACTATTTGTTTATCTTTTATGACTAATTTTTCAATTCTGTTGCGCTGACAGATCAATGTTGACTTTCAGCTGTATGTATCGTCCTTACAACACGTATTTGATCAGAATCAATGAATCACTTCTTCAATTATTAGTTAGAAACAACGTCTCTTCACACTGTGAAAATTACGATTTCTCTTTTTTCGTTACACTCATCATGCTCACATCATGGAACAGGAAATAAAGATACTGATAGTATCGTGCGACAGAAACCAAAGACAGCAGTACTTATTAAAACTTACCAAGGAATAAATGATCAAAAGCATATTACAATGACGACAATATGTCGACTAATGGCACCACTCGTCTGCAAGAGCAACACTGTGTTTTATAAGACACTGGTCTAGAGAAGTCCACGAAGCATCATAATTATTGCATACATAATATATGGTGTACATAGAAAAATGACATGTTTCGAGCAAAGATAGATGTATGATTGATAAAAAGCAAACACATCCTTCAGCTTGAATATAAAAATAAATTGAAAACTTTTAGTCATTTTAACTTCTTGATCAAATATTTAAGAATCAACAAATACTTTCATCTTAAGAATGATTAATTCTAGTCCTTTTGTCATTCTGGGTTCAAAGAGTAAGATATAATTACTTCTGACTTCAATTCGTTGATCAAACCAAAGAGAACGTACATACTAGATACTTGTTAAAAGCATCGCTTGCATTAGCCATTCTATTAGGTGCCTAAACGATAAATACACTGAGTTTTAAAATTTTTCCAGACGTCAACATAAATCTTTTACTACTGTGTTTCAACATGTTTTGAAAGTTTTGCAAGAATAAAATGTCATTAACAAACAATGCGCCACCCAAAGTCTATACTTTCTCTTTCGACTTTTTCCCACTTGCACCAAAAATGCGTTCACTATGACTGAACTAGTCAGAACCTTCAAGAGCCACAATGTCAATAGACTATGTTGTGAATAATTCACTGATCGTTTTTCATCCAGTCGAGTGTTGTTGATCATTCTCAGAAGTGCCGAGAGCTGAAAAGTCGAGAGAAATAGTTCTTGTTTTCGAATTTCCAAAATTGTTGACCGAGTGAGGAACGAAATTCCCTGAGAACTAGCTCCTGTCGTTGTCATTTCCTTCCCCTCCACTCTGAAAATATGCTGTTCTTTTAACAGAGCATAATTTTACTCTATCACAACGGCTGACTACTCCTAAGCCATAAAGATGCGCAAAATGTCTTTGAAGTTTCTTGCCAAAAGCTGCTTACTTTGTTCACTCTCACTGAATTCTACAGGGTAGAGCGACGTCCTGCAAGACTCCCGATCAGATGATCTAATTACAAAAAAAAATATTGTGCCCAAACATCATAAAAATGTTTTGAAAACATTTGATGGCATATACCAGAGATGTGCACGATGGCACTGGTGCGACAACGTATGTATGGGGTACATTAAAAAAAACTACATGAGTTTTTATAGAATCTCGATGTTCACAGTTGCAATACTCTTTTATTGAATGAATCTGATAGATTGATAACTGTTTTCGAACTATTCTTTAAAATCAGATTGTGACACTAACAGATCTTTTTAGCTACGATGGATGTGTCTGGTATGTAATAATATTGCAGACTTCTGAAAATGGCATGGGATAGAAAATGAAATGAAAATGTAAAAAAGAAAAGCTTTTTTGTAAAATTGATCAACTACTTTTCACGGTCTTTTTTTATGATTCATACATTATTTTATATACGTGTCTGTCTTTTATTGGTCAGAGAAATAACGAGAGTCTGTCTGAAACGTTTGTTTTTGTAAGATTACAAATGAAGACAGTTGGAATAAAAAATAAAGATTGAGTTGGTGTAATCAACCAATAAGAAAAAAACAACAGAGATACGACTTGGTGACTAATTCACTATACTAAGAGAATTTGAAAAAATTTCAGTGGGTTTTTTGCTACTATATAATGTAACATGATTTATATTGATGTGTTAGAGTCTAATAGTTGACTTCAGTGAATCAAAAAAAATCTTCTTATACCATTTTTTCCAACTAACGCTCAACGATATGGAGCTCATTAGTAAGTACCGAATTTATTCTGTATTTTATTATTACCTATTCACATAGAAAATGAAATTGTTGTGCTCATACCATCCAATACAGAAGTTGTCTTCTGTGGCGAATCATTCAATGATAATTTAGTTCAGAATAAGAATACATCAGTAGGTCAAAAAGAAATCAATGATTTTGGCCTTCCAATTTACCAAAGAATCTATCAAACCAGAATACAAATCAATCTAAAAAAGCTTTCATCTTTCTGGTATCTTTTAAATCATTCCCAAGAATTAAAGACATCTAGAAATGATAAACGTTATGATTGTATTTCACTGCAAGACTACAACGTTCGTTTAGCTTTTGGCTCTCTTGTATCACCAAACGAATTCAAATGTGCTGCGGCAAAGTTTCTTTTTGATAAAAAACCATATTCAAACTGGAATATTTATTTTGCAAAACATGATTCATTTGTAAGCATTAACATGAGATGTTCAAGATATCAACTAAAAAAAGACAATATCGATATTCAGCATGGTGTTATCATTGATATAAAGTCGAGTCATAACTTCATTATGCACGTATGTCTACGAGGCAATCTCGAAAAATATAAACTCCATGACAAAGAAACGGGTATGTACAGAGGTGTAACAATCACCCTACTTATGAAATTTTCGAAGACAGCATCCTCTTGCTTTTGGTACAGCGACCTCCATCTTTGACACTTGCCTATGCTATGCTCCTCACTCTCTTGAGTGTTGAGATACGTCCCTATGCAGGTTATTTCCAGTAGAAGAAAACAAAGTCTTATTTTTATTTTACTACTTCTGTCAAGTAAAGTTATTTTTCACGAGAAAAAGAACTATACTTTTATTTGTTTGCTTTTTTCTCTTCAGTATGTAAGCCATAGCAGCATTCTTATTGGTTGCAAATCTGCAATTTTCATTTTTTTTTGTTTCTATCAAAGGTTACACGCGTCAATTTTTGGTGCAGAATACACGTGACGAACAGTTGCAACCATGTTTTTCAACTATGCGTTTGTCGATTTACCATCAACAAAAAAATGCTGATTCAGTCCACGAGATTATACGTTACTTTATACAATTTTTTAGTCATAATTGCATTTCGATATATTTTGGATCTATCAAATTTTCATACAAAAACTTTATTTATAAGAATCATTTTCAAATATCTTCGTATACATTCACTTATCAATATGGTTGGCATATGCTTAATAGTGTAGGATGTCATGTTTATAATCAAATTATTAACAATAATATCTTGCAATTATTAAATGAAAATAATAATGATGAATTTATTTATTATATTTTTGAACGATTGCGACGGTTTATGGTTTTACCGGAAAATATTTTTCTTCCTCTTGAATATAAATTACCCACTATTAAGAATTCTTATAATGATTTCTATCTTGATAGTACGATTTATAAAATGGATAAAACTTGGATAAATTATGTTCGTATTCCATGGTTTTGTTTTACACCAACACGTCTTATTATCAAACCATTTAAATTTATGCGATCAAATCGAGTATTTCGATATATATCCAATGTAAGTCAATCCATGGCTTTGGTAGAATTTCGTGATGATACGGGATCAGCATATTTTTCAAAAGAACTTGTTCCATTCTTAAAATATTATCTTAAAAATGGATTTTGGTTTGGTAATCGTCATTATATTTATTTACATCATGCACAATCTCAAGTACGTCAAAAACAATTTTATTTTTATTGTGAAGACGAAGGTAAAATGACTCGTGAAACACTTGAATCATGGATGGGTAATTTTGATGATGAACGATTACCAGCAAAGAATACTGCTCGAAGAACACAACCATTTTCGAGTACAGAAGCGACTATTGAAGTAAGAATATATATACGAATATCTTTCATTGAAAAAAAAATATGTCATTTTTTTCTTTAAAGATTGATAGAAAATTAGTTGATGTTATTCCTGACTTAAAGACAACCGATGGAAAATATAATTTTACCGATGGTGTTGGACAAATCTCATCCGACTTAAATCACATGGTAAGTAATGATGTGTGTTTTAATGAAAACTATTATGCTTTGTAATGTAACAAATAGGATTGTTTTCTATTTAGATTCATAAATCAATTGGTATTCATGTTGAAAAGGGTGAATATGTTTCAAGTGTCCTTCAAATTCGTTATGGCGGTTGTAAGGGCACTATTGCTATAAATCCACAACTGGATGGAAAAAAGAAACAATTGTTAATTCGACCAAGTATGAATAAATTCAAGTGTGAACATCAAACACTTGAATTATGCAAACGTTCACTTAGACGTACATACATGTAAAAGTCGAATAGTCGTTACGACTATTCATTCGACTTTACGACTATTCAACTATTCAACTATTGAATAGTTGAATAGTCGAAGTTACGACTATTCAACTATTCGACTATTCAACTATTCAAAAGTTGAATAGTCGTAAATTCGACTATTCAACTATTCAATAGTTGAATAGTCGAACTTACGACTATTCAACTATTCTCACACCACGTCTCTCTCGATGTGGGTGCCACATAGGGTGTCACACCACGTCTAACTCAATGTGGGTGCCGCATAGGGTGTCATACCACATCTATCTCGATGTGGGTGCCGCGAAGGGTGTCACACCACATCTATCTCGATGTGGGTGCCGCGAAGGGTGTCACACAACGTCTATCTCGATGGGTCAAGAAAACTGAGCTCCAAACTGCGTAAACTCTAAATTTGGAGCTCACTTTTCTTCTCAGTCCCTCTGCTATGATTCATAGCACCACCTAGAATGCTAGTAGCATCTTCTGGGATGCTAATGGCATTTCATAGGATGCCATTAGCATCGCCTGAGATGCTAGAGCCACCACCTGGAATGCTACAAGCATCGCCTGGTATGCTAGAGCCATCACCTGAGATGCTAGAGGCATTCCCTGTGATGCTAGTATCATTATCTGGTATGCTAGAGCCATCACCTGGCATGCTACAGGTTTTCCCTCGGATGCTAATAGCATTATCTGGGATGCTAGAGCCATCACCTGAGATGCTGCAAGCATTGCCAGAGATGCTAATAGCATTATCTGGGATGCCGGAGGCATCACCTGGGATGCTAGAAGCATCACCTGGGATGCTAGAGCGATCACCTGAGATGCTAGAGGCATTGCCTGGGATGCGAATATCACTATCTGGTATGCTAGAGCCATCATCTGAGATGCTGCAGGCATTACCCGAGATGCTAATAGCATTACCTGGGATGCTAAAGCATCGCCGTGGATGCTAGAAGCATCGCTTGGGATGCTACAGGCATTGCCTGGGATGCTAGAGGCATTGTCTGGGATGTTAAAGCCATCATCTGGAACGCTAAAGGCATCTCCTGGGATGCCAGAGGCATTACCTGCGACGCTAGTAGCATTTTCTGGCTTGCTAGTAGCATCCCAGGTAATGGCTCTAGCATCACAGATTATGATATTAGCATCCAGGGCAATGCCTCTAGCATCCCAGACAATGCCTGTAGCATGCCAGGTGATGGGTCTAGCATCCGAGGGAAAGCCTGTAGCATGCCAGGCAATGCCTCTAGCATCCCAGGCAATGCTAGTGGCATCCCAGAAAATGCCTCTAGCATGAAAGGTAATGCTACTAATATTCTAGATGAATAGTTGAAAAGTTGAATAGTTGAATAGTTGAAAAGTTGAATAGTTGAATAGTTGAATAGTCGAATAGTTGAATAGTTGAATAGT